ATAAAGGCATGAACAAGTTTCTCCAAGTCTTGACTGGAAACAAAACATCTAATTCTTGCAATGTTTTTGAGATGATAGTATGCTGATTTAGTTACTGCTTTGACATGACTACTGAAACTAAGGTCTGTCTCCGGAATCACACCAAGATTCTTGACTTGATTTTTAGTTGTTTGACACCTAGAGTCAAGGTATGCATTCACTTTGAGAACTTCATCTTTGTTTCCAAATGCAATGACTTCAGTTTTCTCCTTGTTTAACTGAAGAAAGTTCTGGCACATCCAACTGTTAATTTCATTAATGCATTGGCAGAGGGAGTCAATGGGGCTGTAGTCATTTGGTGATAAGGCTAAGTAAATCTGGGTATCATCAGCATAGCTGTGATAGAAAATGTGGTTCTTTCTCATTATTTGACTTAGTGGGAGCATATACAGGCTAAACAAGAGCGGTGCAAGAATTGAGCCTTGTGGGACTCCGCATGTCATGGACGTCCACTTAAGACTTATGCTCTCCTATACTCACATAATAACCTCTATCCCTTTTAAGTATGACCTGAACCATTTGAGTATGAAAATTAATGTAGAAAATTAATGGGAAAAACTTTTGTGGAACCAAGCCAATGAAAATGTGGGTGATGACTGTTGCACTCTACTGTGCATGTTATTTCACAATAAAATCAAAAAGGTTTTATAAACATTCATAAAAAAAATAAAATGTGCAAAATGCATGAGATAATTTATTCTCTTTTAAAGTTGGATGCAGCTGAATCTATGTTGGAAGTTGATATGTACACTATAATTAATTCATTTTCAGCATGGACACATTAAACTGATCAAAAGTGACAGTAAAAAAATTCAGCAAATTACAAAAGATTTCTATTTACTTCTATTAATAAGAGAAGAATTCTGAGAAAAAAAAAGAAATCGTACAGATTTCTCAAATTTTGAACAGCAGTGTGTCATTTAAAATGAGGCTCCTGTGTAAAAAAAAAAAAGGTTGTGATGTAGAGCTTTTCTTTATCCTACTAATTCTTCTCTCATCAAAAGTCCTGTTTGCCTTCAGAAATGTCACTTTATTGAAGTACAATTTGCAAACGTCATTCCACAGGCACAAAGCATGTGTTTTTGTAATGTTTGCAGATAGGAGATCAGCTTATCTTTTAGGCACCTACATTCCCTCAGAGATAACACCTGTGGAGAGCAAACATCTCACACCCTGCTTTTTTCATTCACTGACCTTGATCTACCACCTGTCACAACAGAGAGAAGAGCATCTTCATACGTACACGCCTATCACAGTCAAGGCCAGAATAAACGCAGTCAAAACAGCCTTGTGAAATGTTTTAAATATGTGCTTTTTCTAGACAGCTAATATTAAAGTGTCAATCACAGTCAACTGTACAGTTTGAACTGTCATTAAACAATTACACTGCAGAACGATCACAACCTTAATACCAATAAAACCTAGCGGTGGCTGAAAAATCCTATTGTACATCCTTACTTTAGTGGCAGCAGTAATAACAGACAGTCTTTTTTAATTATTTACTCATCAGAAAGGAAAACATCAGGGACGAGACAAAGATTTATGAATCATTCATTTGGCTGTGTATTTACATGTAATCTCAGCAAGACTGAAATGGAACAAACTGTCCCTAGAACTGTATTCTGTTTACAGATTCACATTGCAGGAAGTTTTTGAATTATTCTAAAAAGGAACCTAAATGTAGCAAAATGCTGGTATATAGTAGTTAAAGAAAGAATTAATTTAGAGTGGGTCGACTTAATACATATACAGATTTTTTTTTTTACGAGATTTAATTTAACAGCAGACTAATTTACACTTAAAAATCATGATGCCAAAGGACGTGACACTGTTAGTCCATATATCATTGATCAGTGAATGTATATTCCTGTAGATTTATTTAGGCTGACAACTTTAAAAGCCATATTATGGACATAACTAAAACGGTTCAGATCAGCACTCTAGGTTGTTGTCACCCGAGTTTACTAAATCAGACTCATTTTGTTTAGAAGTGGACGATAAAGCTCACTTACGAGCCTTGTAAAATATGTTTGTGGCAAGTCAGAATTAAAAGTCTAATAAACTTTGTTGTCACTGCTGTGAACGCAAACACACAGGCTGTGCTTCAAAACCTAATGAGTTGACTAAGTAGACAGCATTCTGAGCACAACGTTTCAACGCACCTAAGGTGCCTCAAAATGCTGTCTAAATGGGCAGCTCACTAGGTTTTGAGACGCAGCCCCAGTCTACCGGCTAGGCTAATTATGCTAACAGGGTTTTTACCTCGGTCAGCGCTGCCTCCACTGTCACCGAACCAATCGGTCCAATAACCGCGTTACTTACAAACAACCCCATTCCCAGCTTTATATATCCAACCCCCCACATTCCGTCCTTTCCCGTTGCTTCCGACACATCTGCGACACGGTAGGACATTCAGCTAGCCTGCGAGCTAGCTTCAGCAACGTCTCTTTCTTCTTTCTTTCAACTCTCTCACAAACTCGGAAAGTCTCCACAAGCCCAGCCCCCTGCTGCTATTGGTCCGTTCAAGCGAACGCTTCCTGGTTTGCCAAATAAACGTAGGTACGATTGGATGATTTATCTGCCGTTTGAACACAACAAAGCGACGGCAGGGCGTGACTTTTTTTGTTCTTTACCAGCTGAGATCAGTAAATCAGCTGACAATGAATTTAAAGGGGCAGGAAATGACACATTTCCCTATGCAAAAATAAAGTAAGCCAAAGCAAGAAAGAATGCTATAGACAGACAGATAGATAGATCACACACACACACACACACACACACACACACCACATTTCCCATGTACAGTGGAGATCAAAATTAGAGAACAATATATAAATGCTTGATTTTTTCTCTGAAATGCTGATTTTCATTGCTCAAAATTTGAAGGAATATTAGCTGTAGGTATACTGTACTAACATGTTTGACAAAATAACCAAGGCATTTCCACAAAAAACTTTATTTTGTGGAAAACACAGTGATCAAAATTAGAGAACAGTAACCACTGTAGCACGAAATTTTGGAGGGTTACGGCTGTCATAAATTAGTAGTAATTGTAAAGGCCCCTGCTTTGAGTGACTTTAGCACATCTGCGGCCACACAGGACATTCTCACACTGCTCTGGTGTGATCTTGGGCCGCTCTTCTTCCACAGTTCGGTAACTTTAGTGGGTTTCTTAGCTATAACTTTGAGATTTTCAGAGATTTTCAGTAAAGCTTACATCAGGACTCTGGCCCGGCCATTTCATTATTTCAATGTTCTCAGCTTCAAGAAACTGCTTTACCCATTCTGCAGTGTGACAGGAACATTGTTTTGCATGAAAATTGCAAGCCGATTGAGAGATGCTTGCAGGGAAGTTACTGCATGCTGTTGAAGGAGGTTCTTTTACTGACTTCTTTACGCACTTGGGCTCCAGTCTTTCCCCAGTTTGGCGCCAAACAAAATGTTTCCCATCAGACCCAAAATAAATTGAACTTGCTCTCATCATTAAAGTGAACTTTGGACCAGCTGTCCTCTGTCCACACAACATGCTCCTCAGCAAAGGTGAGCCTATTGATTCTTTTTGCTGATGAGAGGCTTCATCACTGCAGAGTGCGCTTTCAGTCGGACTTCTCTTAAACATGCCGAGACAGATCCTTACCCTGTTCAGCACTGAACTGGCAAGCAATTCCAGCTGTGGTGTTGAATCAATTCCCTGTTGAGAGTCTCCGCATTATCCTGTCTTCTCCTGCATTTGTCTTACATGGACGGATGACCAGCCTTTTTGGGGGACTTGAATTAATTAATGTCATTGTGAAGCTGCAATATTCGAGAAATCACGGATTTGGAATGACCAACTTTTCTTGCAATGGCTGAAAGTATCATACCTTTGGTCTTCATCTGAACCGCCTTCAGCCCGCCATCTTGCAATCTCAGTGAAAATGTGAGGAATGCTGCTAGTTAAATAGGGCTTGTCATATAATTAAGGAAATTATTAACACCAATAACTTGGAGGTATCTGTAAGTGTTCTTTAATTTTGATCTTGATTTTGAGTTCTTTTTCAAATATCTCATTTAAGTTTTTTTATACTGTGCTTCAGAATACAATTAATTTATGAAATATGCTTAAAAAGCTGCCATTCTACTCCTATTAGCATAACTTCAAATAGGACTAAGCAGTGGCCTTGATAATTAGGAAAATGTAGGTTGTTCCCTAATTTTGATCTCCACTGTATGTGTTTTAAAACTGAGTATTTAAACTGTGATATGGTGGTGGCTTTAAATACTCAGTAATGACATAACCAAAGGAATATGGTGGATTGCAAAATTTTCTAATGTTTGGAATATATAAATATTAATTCATATTAAGAATACCAGAAAAGATATACTAGAACAATTTATGAAGAAGCATTTTGTTTTATATTTCACCCTTTTAAAGAATAATTAATTTATTCTTTAAAAGGGTGAAATATAAATCAAAATGCTGGATTCAATTACTAAGGTTCTTCAGTATCTCAAGGATCTAATGTATAAAGTCAACTTCTATTTAACTATGATTATCTTTTGTTAAAAAGTTAACAATGGACATTAATGAATGAACTTTTTCCCCCTACCACTCCACCAGATTCCAGTCCACACACACAGGGGATACATTTATAACGCCTTTTAAAAAATGACCAGATGAAAGCATTTTATTAGACAGGCTGTTGTGAAAACATTGGATTCGGACAGGCCTTGATGCCTGCCTATCTGTGATCGAGAAAGTGACAGCCACTGATCCCTAGAAAATCAGTGTAATCTCTCAAGTAAACTTGTTTGTTTTGTGGTAAATGTTATTTTGACAGCCATAGCTAAGGGCTCTTACTTGCTTTATTCCAGGGACATACAGTATCTGTCTGACTTGGGACTGCGGCTTCTTAGGTGAGACCCTTTGAACCAAGCAGAGTTAAAAGGAACAAAAGCAAACAAATCACATTGTTCTTTCAGGAATTTTTCTTGTTCACTGCCTTTCATTTCTCTCTTTTTTAGGCACTTCTCTCATTCAGAACAGTGAAGTCAATGGATCCTTACATCCCAGCTTGACAAGTTAGGAGGATACAAACTAATCCCCTTAATCTGTCTATTCTCCCGTGCAGTGCCAAAGGGGGAGAGGTACCCAGCACAAGTAATCCTATAGAAAAAACAATAGGATTAGACCCCAGCTCTTGGAGTGACAATCAGATATACTGACTGATTTGCAAAGTAGGGTCGAGTTTCTTCAAATTAGCTTTTTTTCTCTCCTTTTGGGAAAAGGTGCCTTTCATTAACTGCTGGTGGGATTCCTTTAGGACAGATGCTGGAGGTCCGCATGAAAGGCATGTATTCTTGGCTTCCAGCACACAGGTCCTGGGCTTCTCCCACAGCAGAGGCAGAGAGGTGGGGAGGCAGCAACCACTCCACCCCTTTACCCTCTGTCAACCCCTTTATAATTCGAACTCTAATGCTTTTAAAAAGTGTTTGACAGACCAGACGGATCAGATTCCTCTGCTTACTGAGGATACATGTAGCAGATCAACAAGGCTAAATGATGGAGATAGTGTGAGATATGATGCCTGTTCTTTTCATTTGTATGCAGCCATGCAAAGTTTTTTTTTTTCTGTAACATTTAATGACATGAATGTCTTTTGGACAATTGCTGGTTTTTGATATATTTTTTACGGTTGACACATATAAACCTTGAAAATCAGCGTTTTACAGACAGATATATACTACCATCTCCACAGAAACGCATATTTAGATATATAATTTAATAAAAAAGGTATCAAGGAAATTGTATGAAATACAATCAGCAATATATATATATATATATAATAGCTCATTCATAATTAAGAATAATTTTATTTTATATATTTAATTTCAATATATTTATATATTAAAATACATATTTTATTAAATATTATATCATTATTTAACAGTTCAGATGTCCATCTTTTCAAATACAAAAAATTTATAAAATAATTAGCAAAGCAATATATACATTTTTGATAATTTTCATTGTTTGTTTGTTATTTTCAATACATACATACATTATGCATACATACATAATTACTTTTTTTGCTAATACTATTTATACATTTACTATTTATATAATGTCTTTATTATTTTATTTATATTTACTTTCTATATATTTATATATTAAATATATTTATTAAATAATTTATTACTAAAATATTATTTTATTTAATTGTTCAGATGCACATCCTATTCAGCGGTGAAATAATATTGCCTGTGCCTTAAATTTGTCAGAATAAAACGAAATAGCGTTGTCTTCCTTGTGACCTTTAGATGGCACTATTGGTGTAAAATTACCACAGAAACCTCTGCGATGTCTATGTAGGTTGAAGCCTATTCCTGGGTGTGTGATTAGCCACTGTGACACTTGATACTTAACCACAAGCTAATGCAGCTTGGGAAAGGCATTGTCCTGTAGGAAACAAGGGTCACCTGCACTGAAAAGGAAGTCCTTGATTTAATTTAAATCCAGTGAACTTGGCCAAGCAAAACATAGTGTGACTTAACTTCATCTCACATTACTTTTTCACTCCAGTCCGTAAATAGAGAGAACGGTTGTGGATTATTGGGCAAGTGAATAATGTGAGAAATTCACCTGAACCTACTATGCAGTTTTTAGGTGAAATAGTCACTCTCATATTAATGAAAGCCAAGACAACCCTGATAAATATGAATGGAGAGTACGAAGATATGAAGTTCTTGTTCATGTATCTCCAAAATATAAAACATGATAAGAGTTGAATGACTAAAGACATGCTTTCAGCCTCCTAAAGTCTAAGGCAACATGACAGATACTGTTTCACCTGCTAAACACTTTGCTCTCACAGTCAAATAGCTTGGCTTCCCGCTATTCTTTCAACATCTGCCGGGAGAATCACGGTGTAATTGAGGCTTTAAAAAGGCATGCCAGAAAACTCAGCAGATGCATCATTACAGTCTTCGGCCTGTCTTTTGAAAGCTAAATTTATGAAGCTGTCTTTGCTCAGGTATCTTTGTGGTTTGCACTCTTTACTCTGAACGCTGTTGAGAGGCTAGAGCATGTGTCCAGCATGGGAATAGATGCTGTACAAACAAACAAAACAACTGGAGCTATGAATTAAAACAAATTAGATCATAATGCATTCAAAAATGTCATCAGCGGTTTCTTGTGAGTACTTCTTGCCTTCCAGATGTTTCCTCTGAGATCAAAGCAGGAATGTGCTCTGTTGGTGTAAACGTATTTGTTGTGTAATACTGGTAGATAATGTAAACCCTTGTGAAGGAAAGTAAACACGAAGATATGAAGTTCTTGTTCATGTATCTCCAAAATATAAAACATGATAAGAGTTGAATGACTAAAGACATGCTTTCAGCCTCCTAAAGTCTAAGGCAACATGACAGATACTGTTTCACCTGCTAAACACTTTGCTCTCACAGTCAAATAGCTTGGCTTCCCGCTATTCTTTCAACATCTGCCGGGAGAATCACGGTGTAATTGAGGCTTTAAAAAGGCATGCCAG